TTTTTTTTGCATGAAACATCTTTTTATATTTATTGTTTAAAATACATACATACTACGTCTGGCTTTGAGGAGTTTTTAACCAAACTTTACAGAGTGGACAATACCATTTCATACAACATGGATTTTGTTGTCATATATTACTGATTGTCTGTACCTAAATCATTTTAAGGCTAAGTACATGCTTTTTATTCTATTGCATTCACTTGAGACCATTCAGAGGGAGTAAGAGCACAGGGAAAAATATGTATAATAGTATATAGTGTGTAGTTTTCTGAGTATTTTTCCTTTAAGGCATTCACCATCTGGCTGGAGGCATCGAACGCAAAATACATCCTTTAAGGCATCTGTTAATGACTTTTCTTGAATTCCTCACGAGGGAATGTTTGTTTAGTTACGCACTGAGAAAGCTTCCTAGAGAATAAACTCATTGCTTTTGTTAAGTCAAGTCTTTGGTATAGAGTAGTTGTGATACTTGCTGGTTTTAGGCTGTTCAGATAACTGTAAATTATAGTTCTATACTGTCTTTCAACAACTGAATAGTGGAGAGCTGTGATTCTTTCATTCTGTTTTTTTTTATAAAGCATAATATATCACATTGTTTTGCTTGACTGTATTGATTTGCCGTTTGTGTACATCACTTTTACCTCTACTGTAATGATTTCATTAAACAATCTGAAATTTTTTGCAATGTATCTAGTATTTTCAAAATATCATATGTAATATGTTTTTCAGGTTCTAAACTGGGAATGGTGAGTACACTGGCAGGTAGGGTTGCCATTCAGAAGGACTTTGACAGACAGGAGAAATGGGCTAGCAAACACTCATGGAGCTCAGCAAAAGCAAATGCAAACTTTAACATCTAGGAAGGAATGACCCCTTAGGACAGTACAGGCTGGGTGCCAGCTTGCTCAAAAACCAGCTCTACAGAAAAGGTGCTGGGGAGGGTCCCGCTGGATGGCAAGCTAATCTTCGGTCAGCAAGGAACCCTTGCAGTGAAAAAGGCAAACTGCATCCGGGGCTGCCTGAGCAAAAGCATGCCATACAGGTCAAGGGAAGTGATCATTTCCCTCTACTTGGCACTTGCAAGACTACATCTCGAGTTCTATGCCCAGATTGGGGCTTCCCAGGAGAGGAGGCAGAGCAGCTCACTGGGGCAGGCCTGGCAGAGGCCCACCAAGATGGCTAGGGTGCCTGAGCCCATGGCATACGAGGAGAAGCTGAGCAAGGTGGACTTATTTAATTTGGGCAAGAAGCAATGGTCACCAGTTGCAACAAGGGAAATTCCAACTAGGTATTGGGGAAAAAAAAAAAAAAAAAAAGGTGGGGGAGACCATTCTGGGTGGTCACAATCACCCAAGATTGGAACAATCTTTCAAGAGGATCTGTGAAATAATCTTCATCCTTAGAGACTTTCAAAACTCAGCTGCACAAGGCTTATTTACCTGATCTAACTTTGAAGTTGCCCCTTCTTAGAGCAAGGGTTTGGATCTGGTGACCTCCAGGGTCAATGATTTGCATATCTTGAGTTTTAGACAGAGTAGACTTTGGCAGGCTTGGGCAAAAATAAGGAACGTGTTTCCAAATGAATAACTGGTCATATTAATTTTGTTATTCATTTGTTCTGTAAGATAACGATATGTTCATGTCTCTAAAAAATGTCTGATTTGCTACCTGTATCACAGAATGTATCAGAATACCAGCCACTTCTATGAACTATTTAAAAGGTTTGAATTTCAGAAAAAATGCTATTAAAATCAGTCTATAACTCAACTCTTGAGCGTCTAGTAATCATGAAGCAGTCACTATTTCTATACTAAAATTAGGACTGTGCAATCAACTTTTTTGTTTTAAAGCTTCTGCATCCAAATTACTCATTTTCTAAGACAGAGATGAGATAAATGAAAACCGCAGATGCAGACACTGCAACATACACCAGTAGCTTGTGAAGTGTTAATATTGAAAGCTTTATGCGGGAACTAACATTGTTTGCTGAAAACTGCCAGGGTTGCCCACTTGCAACTAGTCACATTCCCAAAGACGTTCCATCGCTCAGAATGGAGGAAACTTTAGAGCCCCCCATAGCAGAAAAAATTCTTCCTTTATTCCCCACTGTGACAAGTAAATGGTTTATTTCTATATAACTGCAAATGGGATTATAATTACATATTGATGTGCTACAAAGGCTTTATCAAAAAAGAAAAAAAAAGAGGAGGAAAGCATCAGCTGTCAAGACAAAAGCTTTGCTACCCTCTTTGAAGTCAGTGCACTGCAATCGACTGAGGATCTCAGGAAAGACCTCTTCTGTCTAAAGAGGCCTACTCTAATCCTGCTAAAGAGCTTCTCTGTGGAATAACTCCTAGTGAAATCCCATATGTGGAAATGACTTCTTTGGCCTATGTCCAACACCTGATTCCTGTTTTATCACAGAACTGAACTGGCTGCTCTCCCGTGTCCTTAGTGGACCCATATGCTCTGTTACATAGTTATAGATGTTTCAGTGTCAAAAGGCAATGCGGAAGTGTATAGGCTTTGCAGGGCTTGGATCCAGCTTTCATACTATTTGGTATTTTAATTAACGATAGACTAAAGAATATGCTTATCATTTATACAGAAAATACCTCCATTAAACAACAGCAATACGCAAGTGCATCTTAGCAGAACAGTAAACTATGTGGAGGCAGGACCAGCTGCATGGCTTATAGCACCCCAGACAAGCTAAGGACATGGCATCTCAGGTTTATAACTGTAACCCACGCAGCATGTCTGAGGGAGCATCTAATTAGTTGTCCGAGGCGGGTTAAATTTCCTGGTTAACTGCCGTATTTGGAGGCATAGGAGAGCTTACATTTATGGGAGAAGGGTAGACAACTGTAAAAGAGAAATGATCAAAAACTTCTATCAAATGAAAGGAGAAGAAAGTGTGATTAGTGTGATACATCTGCAAAATTAGCTGAAGACTTACATATTCTAATAATAAACGGAACACATTTTTCTCCTGTTGTCTTTAAGCCTCCCTGACACTTGAAGTTCTATCTAACCAATTAATACTATTTGTCTTCTAAAATTTTGAATATTTGTTTCAGAACTTTTTCTAAAATGTTTTGGCTGTGTCAGTGCGTATCATATAAAAATTTGTTTCTTTTTTAACTGTTTACTAAACCACACAGAAAACAGTACAAGAGTTAAGACACAGGCATGCATTATGAAAAAGGGTAGGAGTCTGCTCTAGTTTCTCTTACTTTTGACTTGTCAGAGGAAAGTATCTAGGAAGAAATGAGAAAAGAACACAGGATTAAATTAATTCCTAAACACTACACTGATTTATACTGCCATACTCTTGCTCAGGTAGCCTCGGATGCAGCTGACCTTTTTCACTGCAAGGGTTCCTTGCTGACCGAAGATTAGCTTGTCATCCAGCAGGACCCTCCCCAGCACCTTTTCTGTAGAGCTGGTTTTTGAGCAAGCTGGCACCCAGCCTGTACTGTCCTAAGGGGTCATTCCTTCCTAGATGTTAAAGTTTGCATTTGCTTTTGCTGAGCTCCATGAGTGTTTGCTAGCCCATTTCTCCTGTCAAAGTCCTTCTGAATGGCAGCCCTCCCTGCCAGTGTACCAATCACTTCCTCCGTCTTCCCCTCGGTTTGCTTTAATCTGCTACCTTATTGACAGCATACTTTCTCCTGTTGTCCGTGTCATCAATGATGTCAACAGTATCGACCCCAATTTTACCTCCTGAAGGAGCACCATTCATAACCACCCAGTAGCTGGCTTTTGAGGTGTTGATCGCTACCCTTGAGCTTGGCCCTTCAGCCAATTTCTTAGCCATCTTGTAGTCCAGTCATCCAGCTCTTGCGTCCCTATCCTGGCTGCAAGGATGCTTTAGGGAACAGTGTTGAAAGTCTTGCTTAAATTAAGTTGAATGGCATCTCCTGCCCTCAGTTTGTCCACAGAGCCAGTTATTTCATCATAGAAGGCCATCAGCTGGTCACACATCGTTTCCCCTTGGTTAATTAGTGCTGTCTTTTTCCAATCACCTTTTTGTTCATATTATGCACAGAAATGGCTTCCAGAAGGATTTGCCAGCTACTCTTACCAGGGACAGAGGTGAGGCTGCCTGACCTAGTCATAGTTCTGCAGATATTCCTTCTTACCCTTTTGAAAATATACTGCTTGCCTTTTTTGTCCTCAGGAACCTCTCCTGTACCCTACAACCTTTCAAAGATGATAATGGCCTTAAACTGACATTGGCCAGCTTTTCTATATAAATAATAATATACATCCATAGTATAGCCATTCCAGTATAGTTTCCCAAGACAAAAAGTAAAGCAACCTATCTTCTACTTCTCTCCCTCTTTTTCTCTCCTTCTGTTGTAAGCAATACAGAAGTGCCTCACCATGGACTTTAGGATAATCTGACACAGCTGGCTAGCTGGCAGCACTCTCAACCTTGTACACTGGGAATAGCTTTTCTGGAGCCTGGCTCTGATGTGTTGCCTTTTCTGTCCCCTCCTGCCAGCCTCACATCCTCACCATTTACCTTCACAGCCAGGAAGTGTACCTGAGCTGTTTCTGCTTATTTCTGAAATTTTGTCATCATCTGCAGGATGCTGGGTTCGTGAGCGAGGGTATTTCTGTGGAGAATCCAAGCAATAGTTAGGGGAGAGTAATGTTTCAAATTGTATTTTTATATGGCATTCATTTTGCAGCAGTTATTTTAAGATTCCTGTTTATAACTATTAAATATTTTAAAAAAGAATTAGAATGCAGAATTTGTTAGCGAATTATTTATCTTCAGCTGTTTATTCTTACAGATAGTCTTAATTGTACTTTTCAGCTGGAAGAAGTGAGAAGAGGCACTTCTGAGCACTGAAACTGGTGAATGTGTATGAGAGTGAGCATTTGGTTGCCTGTATTCACCACGTATTATTTCTGTCCACGTCTTTTAAGTATTTTTTATATCTGTATAAGAATAAAGAGAACTCTTTTTTTCCTTCCTGCTGCAGGCAAGTATTTCCAAAGGGGCTTCCTGAAGAATACTCTCTAGTAGCAACGTTCCGTGTACGACGAAACACCAAGAAAGAACGGTGGTATATATGGCAAATTTTAAATCAGTATAACACACCTCAGGTTAGAGTCGTCTTTGATTTTTTTCATTCATTTTTCTTTTTTCATTGGAATATGACAAATATAGTCTAGGGGGTGTTTTATCACTGGATTTAGCTGTGGTTTACACAGAACAGATAGACTGCTCTGAAATAACTTTGTCATTTGCTATAGCGACTACAGAAATTGAGCAAAATGTATTGAGTAGGACTACATACTAGAATAGAAGGCGTGTTATGATTTAAGCTGGCGGGTATTTACAAAGTTACCTAAAAGAATGCTTTGTAATTCTTGCCCAATCTATGCAGTAAAACTATTTGTATTATATATGGTTTGTATGTGCTTTTAGTTCTTATACTCTGTCTTTTAAATAACCACTTGTTTTATTCCATTTTGCTTTCAGATTGCCGTCCTTATAGATGGTGCAAAAAAAATTGTGGAATATATGACCAAATCTGCTCAGGGAAATATACTGCACTACACTTTTAAGAGTCGAGAAATCTATCCACTGTTTGATCGTCAGTGGCATAAACTTGGTATTAGCGTGCAGTCGGGGGTCATTTCCCTCTATTTGGATTGTAATTTAATTGAGAGAAAGCAGACTGACGAAAAATTCACCATTGACTTTCAGGGAAGGACTTTGATTGCTTCTCGTGCTGCAGATGATAAGCCAGTAGATGTGAGTAGCATGAAAGCAAAACTGGATAACTTAGAAATCATGTTTTAGCCACACTTTTACTAGCATTATCCTAAAGAATTATGGAGATTTAAAAGATTATAACTGGTTATTAATTTTGAATGCATATTCTGAATGTGCTGTCTTTAGGTCTTTTTCTCTCAACAATATTCAGTGCTGTAGTGTCTGCTAAGGCAAACCCTCCATTTCCAAAGTAATGACTACAGAAACTCAGTCCTGATTTCAGGAGTCTTTATTTCAATGTGTTTGGAGTGACAGCCATATAGTTATTGTAGATTTATTATTATTACATTTAAAGATAACTTCTTGTAGTAGTCTTTTCTTTCAATTTTTATGAGATTCAACTGCATGAATGACAGATGTAAATTATCTGTCATCTAGTTACAATTTGTCCCTCTTTGCTAAAGGAAACCCATACAAAAAATTAAGGTTTACTTATTCATCAAGTTTGTATCACATGCAAAGATGATTCAGCCATGCTGAAATTGGGGCCTGTTGTTTGTAGTTGTCACTCCCTCCTCCAAGTGGGAGTCACTAGGAAGTAGCTGGAAGTGAGCTCCCTGCAGCTTTGGATACGTGTAACCAGCTCTGCATTTGCAGCTGACTGTTGTAAGATAGTCCCTTTCCTCCACCTCTCTCCATCAAAAAACAGTGAACAACATCTGCAGTTCTTCTAGAATGAAATGCAAATGCAAGGCAGAGTAAGGCAGGCATATTGTAGTATTCCTGAAAAAAGCAAACTGTTTTCTCAGCTGCAAATAAAAAGGCCCTTGATATTCTGGGCTATATTCTATCCAGAAATGTTCTCTTACGTTTCCTTGTATAGAGAGCTCTGAGCAATGAACTTGAAAATCGCAGGAAATGTCAGTTTGTTTTAAATATTACTGATATCAAGTTACCAGTTTTAAATCCTCTGGCTCAAGGTTTATAGTGGCCACGTGAAAGTTTCAGCTGTGTTCTGTACACTGTACAGTTTCAGATGAAAATAGCATATTATAATTGCAAGCTAGCATTGTGAGAAGCCTCAGTCCTGTAGGGTGCTAAGCACTTTGGCCTGGACTCAGCAGACCAGGCTAACTTCACGCATGTGGCTAACTTCAGAGGGCCAAGCTCATACTTCGTTTTACTCTGTAAGACTGAGTTCAAATTTGTTTGAAATTTATGTACCATTCCCTTATTACCAAGTTACACGCAGGAAAAGGAGGAGATTCTTTTTGCCTTGTATTGTTTGTGTGACACGGAGTGGATAATTCTGAGTGGACGTTGCCAGTCAAGAATTCCCCACTTGCAGGAAAACATTGTTGGCATAAAGCTAGTGGAGGTGGCAGGGCAGATACTACACCACCACTCATTCTCCTCAATACCCAGTGCAAGGGAGAAAATAAGTGGAGAGGATACAAAACAGATGCAAAAAGGGGCATATTTTAGCAAAACTGTTCTCAGAAATGAGACCTCTAGTTCTTAGCATGAGTGACTGAAGTCAATGTAGTTCCTTAACTGTTCTGGCTTTTATAAGGGCAAGCTAGCTACTTAAAATTAAGTGCTATTCCTCTCCACTAATCCGCCCAAAATCTTGAACATAAAGGTCTCATGCACAGAATACGTGATTTTTGCTGTTCAGATCAGGTAGAAGAGAGGTCCCGGCAAAGGTCTGTCCAGAGTGATAGATAATAAATGTGAAACTGAGCTTGTCAAACCTTTACTCCAGTTCACTGCAGTTTGTTTACTTCAGTTCCAAAAAGATCGTCTGCAGAGACTGCAGTACCTATGCAGTACTTATAGCAAGAACAGTGCAGAGGGTTGCAACTTACAGGAAGATAAATTTAGTCTAAATCTAAAGGATTCTGCCTGATGTCTAAAGGAACCTAAAATGGGGCTTACATCACAGGAACATACTGCGGAATTTGTTCCTGAAGTGAGGAACTACAATAACTGTTAAGTTCTGGATTTAGTCTGTTTTCGCTGCCAAGTTCGGAAAATAAATGCCAAAAAAGATTGTTTCTTACTGCTCATATAAATCTCTTGTTTTGTATTTCTTAATAGATTGAACTTCAACGCATAACAGTTTATTGTAATCCAAAACTTGGAACAAAAGATACGTGTTGTGAAATATCTGCAGACCTGGTAAGTTATTTGCTAAAATGCAGGTGTGAATGCAAAATAAATTGTTTCATTGTTTCTTATTACAAAGTTGTAAAGACATTGCAAAGGGATCTTTAGATTAATTTCCTCAAATGAATCCTGTTGACCAGGAGTCACGGTAGCCTGCTAGGCACATGGTTGCTTGTTGACTAAGTAAATGGCTTAGTGGAACGTCAATAAAAGTGTCTCAAAAATTAACACTAGATACTGCTAGTGCTTTTTAAATGCATTTCTTGACATTAATTAGTATCTAATTAGTAACTGAGGAAGTCTCAGAGCAGAAAAAACAAATCACTGCCAATGACCTGAGGATGGCTTCAAATGAGAGAATATTTTAATAACAAGTGTACAGTATTACTGGTGAAAAACAAGCCTATGAAAGAGTCTGCATGGCGATGGAGAGCAGGAAAAATTGGAGGAGGTTGAGGGTGTTTTGATTATCTCAGTATAATAACATGGAGCAATGGATGTCTCATAATTGGCAAATACTCTCATCTTTATAATGCGTGTGCTAAGATGTGTATATTGTTTAACATAAAGGATTCATTTAGTTCAGTGGAGTCACCTTTTCCCTTTGTTTTGATAGATGGGATCTTTATAAACTGGAAGATACTGGAAATACAGAAATGTTTTGCTGAATCAGGCTCATTTGAGAAAAAAAAACGCAGAAAAAACACACATTAAAATATTAGTCAGTTGGTAATGAACAGTCTGTAAAAGAAGACTCCTCTGAGGTAGTGGGAAGTACTATCACCTCTTAGCCTGCAATCAGCAAAACAAATCATAGTTTTCAGAAGGACTAATTGAGCTCATCTTCAAAGAAATGGGGGCAAGGGAGCTGGAATGGAGGGGTTAAGCTGCCCAAGAAGAGAAGAACAAAATACTTTGTGTGAACTGACAACTGAGAGGTGCTCAGAAGGGTGGAAGAGGATGAATCTGACTTATCAAAGGACATTTCAATTTTAAATAACAATTTCTTTTTCAAATACATTTCAAAATGTATTCCTGATAATAACGCACACTTCTTTTTGAATGTACGAGCTCACGGCTAAGTAAAATGAGTGCATTTGTCTGTAGATTCCACTTTGTGCACAGAAACACAGTTTTTTAAGAGGTTATGACACAGTGACAAAAAAGTCAGCAAAAAAACCCTAATTATATGTGAGCACAAAAAAGATCAAGGGCATGTTTTATTAATAGCATCTTAAATGTTCATTCAGCTGTATAGGTGAAAGCAGCAGTAGTTTCATGTACGCTTCTTGTGCTGAAGATGTAAAAATAATTGACTACTTGCTTCTGACTTTCACATTGAAACCAGCGTTATACTTTCTGGGATTTTTTTCTTGACTTTGTTAGCAAATGTAAGAGCTAAATTTTCAGTAATTTAAGGGAAGGAGTTTTTACTTGGATACAAATTTTTTACTCCAAGATGTAAATCCTGTGGGAGTTGCCTTGAAAGAAGGTTCGCAGGAGAACTCATTGCATCTTATTGAGAGCTTCTGTAATTTATCAGGCCCTTAGCTCCCATGGCTTACAGACAGCTGAGCGTTGGCTTCAAGGCTTTTTGTTTGCTTGTTTCCAAACTACACATGCTCAAAATATTTCATTATAAAAAATAACAAAATTCACCCTGTCCCCTCCCCCCTATTCACTCTGACATTTTGCATTGCAGAGTGGGAAGGGACTGACAAATACCGTCTTTTTTCACATGTATATTTTCTGGTTTCATTTTTTTCGGGAGACTTTCTTCCTCTCTTTGGGCTCTTTCAGAGGAAAGAAGTGGGCCAGTCAGATCAGTGTGGACTGGCACTGATTTGAGTGCAGAAGGATCACAATGGCTAGACTGCATTTTATTACAGGTTTTTCTGTGTGGGAGTTTTTGTGGCTTCCTTGTAATGGGGTGTGTACAGTAGCATTAAAACAGAAAATAAGGTAGAAATAGGATTTGGATTATATTTATCTGTAAATCAAAGTGGACTAAAAATCCTAACATATCGTATTTTATTCTAGTGCCCCCATGATGACAGGTTACTTGCTACTACTTCTTCCCCAGTGACTGTTCATGCCAGCAGAATATACACGCTTCCAGAAACACAGCAAGAATCTAGAGACAGATGCTTCTGCTTTCCAAATAAAGTATGGGATTTTCTTATTGATTTTTAATGCATCATGATGTTTAATCCTGCTAGGCATAAAAGAGTGTGTTTTTTTTCTGTAGATATGAAAAATAAATTTTTGCATTCAAATCTTGTAATATTATATATCCCATAACATTATATTATATATATTAAATTACATTATATGTATACACATTACATACATTACATCATATTGCATATATAACATTATATATTAATACATAAAAATATAAATAATATTATAAATAACAATATAATAAATAATGTATAATCTAATACATAGTAAATATATGTATAATATATTGTATTATATTAAATATAAAACCATATTTCCCAATTAAGAAAGAAAACATTTTAGATTATTTTAAAAGTTAGAGCTGCAAAGAGCTATAAGGTTCCATAGTGTGAACACACAAAAAAAAGGATTGATGGTAAAAATGAAAATTACTCTTGCAACCTTATATCTAGTGTAAGTGGTTTTATTTTAGAATGAGTGATTTTCTACATAGTGCTTTTTTTTTTCCTAAATCCTTCTTCTAGGTGTTGTGCCATATTTATTCTAACTTATTTGTGTCGTTAGGCTTTTGTGATTAAGACTAGGAACACCAAGTACTTAACATATTTTGGATCTGCTTCTGTTTATTTGCTGATTTGTTGTTTGTTTGCTTGTTTATTTGTTTTTAAATAAAAAAAAAACAAACAGGGAGAAGCAGGATTACCAGGAGTAGCTGGTTTGCCAGGCCAGAAAGGAGTTAAAGGTGAAAAGGTAAGATACCAATTACATTTTTTTGTCTCAAATCTTTGCTTTTATTTTTTTTTCTCCTTTCTTAAATAGAAACCTTACAGGCTGTGTTATTCCTTGAAGGACTGTCTTTGTGCATAGGTTAATGCTATTGCCAGTTAGTCTGTGGTTCTGCGAATGTGGTCTTTCTTGCTGAGCAGCTTAGAGCCTCCTCACTTTGTGGCCCACTCGTGAACTCCATGGAATACTGTTTCCTTTCCTAAGAAGCAAAAGCACATCAAACAGCGTGCTGGTGCATTCTGTTGTCTGTTCTCTTAACCACCCTCCCCCCCCCCCAAAAAAAAAAAGAGGGTGAGGAAATCATGTATATGTCATCTCTGACAAGGATTTATCAATACTGTGTATGTATTTGTATGTTACTGCTGATGGCCAGAATCCTGTGGTGTAGATTTAGCCTTTCAGTGATCAATAGGAGGGTATGAATTCACCTATAGGAGCTCAGCAATATATATTATTTGACATGACTGCTGCCTGAAATCTTAACTGTGAACAGAGAGGGACCTGACGTTGGCAAACCTGTAATATAGGCCGGATAGTACTGCCTTCATTGAGCCTATTCCATGTTTTTGCTCTATAGTGGCTTACCTTGACATTCTTTTATTATTTAACTTGGGATTTTCTTGGTGCTGAAGGTCAGCATAACAGAGATCTTCCCTTCACAGTTCATTCCCTCAACTCGGTTGCAGGATGCTGAATTAGGACATTTCTGGGAGTGTGTTTTATTGGGTTACTGGAGGGACCAATTTGGATAGGCTATTACAAGTCA